CATAACCCACATAAAACTTGGAAGCAATAGTGAGCACAGGCTTCTGTAATCCCAGTATGCCCTTAGCAGCAGAGAGGCAGAGACCAGAGAATCACAAGTAGTGCATGGGCCACACAGCCTGTAGAATCTACCAGAAAAACAGCAAGGGAGACCTGTCTCTAACAAGAAGGAAGGTGTGGATCAACACCCAAAGTTGTTATCTGACTTCCACTGTATGCTGTGATGTACATGGGTATGCATGTATACACATGCACGTACACACACACACACACACACATACTGGAGGGGGGGAGGAGAGAGAATATAGATTATATAGCTCAGAAAAGAACATAACAGGACAGTACGAATTTGCACTCTTGTCATCATTTATCTGATCCTCGGGTGCCTCTTATGTGTCAGGAACCACGGGGGTTTCTGAGGACAACCACAGCAAACTGGACATAATCTGTGTTTTCTTAGAACTTACAATATATCCCGGAAAACAAACCATTCATTATTCAAAGGCTTCTGAATACTGATTATGTACCAGGCACCCTGCCAGACCCTGAAGCCACCAACACAAACAAGTCCCAGTCTCTCTTCTAGAGTGACTAACGGTCTAGCATAGTGCAACTCCCCATAGCCGGAGTGCAGCCAGCACCATGGCAGATGTCTGAAAAGATGCAAAATTCACAGAGGAGGAAATCGACTTATTCTAATTTTTAGGGTTCATCCAGAAGGATTAGGGCCCAAATATTCCAACAAGACTGAATACACTTCTCCTTTTTATCTTCTAGGGGTTTTGATGTGGGAAATTTACTCCCTGGGGAAGATGCCATATGAGAGATTTACTAACAGTGAGACAGCAGAACATATTGCTCAAGGCTTACGCCTCTACCGGCCTCATCTGGCATCAGAAAGGGTATATACCATCATGTACAGTTGCTGGCATGAGGTAAGTGTTGTAGTGTCCCCGCTTAAACTCTTCCCTTAATGTCTCAGTTAGCTGGCCAGTCTCCTCTCTCCATGGTCACTTGTCGCCTGGGTACAGACACGCTTTCTCGCTCTGCCCTGTGTCCCAGTCTTCTGATGGCTTCTCTGTGCCTACCCTAAACCTCGCTAGAGTATCATGAGCAGACCACACCCTAATACCTATATCAGCTTTAAGAGCAGGAAGTTTGTAGGACCATGCCGTCTTCCAAAAGGCACTCAGGTGAGACAGTGGGGGTTACAGTTTCTATAATCATCATCTGGGCCTCACCTAGGAGTTTTGACCCTTCTTCTACTTTACTAGATGCCGACCTTTTCTGGTTGAGGGTCTAAGTGAGACATTTAAAACCCTGTCTCAGAGTTGGAGAGATGGCTCAGCTGTTAAGAGCACTGACTGTTCTTCCAGAGGACCCAGGTTCAATTCCCAGCACCGACATGGCAGCTCACAACTATCTGAAAATGCAGTTCCACAAGATAAATAAATAAACCAATGCACATAAAATTAAGCTAAATAAATCATTAAAAAAAACCCTGTCTCTCAGAAGGGACGACCTAAAATAGCTTTTGTTTGTCTGCTTTGATTTTTGGGTTTTGATTCTAAAATATTTTTAAATTATTATTTTACATGTATTGTGTTTTGCTTGTATGTATGTCTATGTACCACATTCATGCCTGGTACCCATAGAAGCCAGAGGAGGGCATCAGATGTCCTGGAACTGGAGTTATGGACAGTTGGGAGCCACCATGTAGGTGCTGGGAATCAAGCTTGGGTCCACTGGAAGAGCACTCGGTGCTCTAAATGCCTGTGACAACTTTCTAGGTCATTTTTAAAAAATGATATCTTATAGATTTGGAGGGGGTGCACTTGTAGTATTTTAGAAATAAGGATCAGGTTTCACTATTCTAAAAATGCTTTGCTGGGGTTGGGGAATGTGCCTCAATTGGTAGAGTGTTTACTTAGCATGAATGAAGCTTTCCTTTGGTCTCCAGCATCTCACAAGCCAGGTGTGTGGTTCAGAGGTTTGTTTGAGACAAGGTTTCGAATTGTCAGGCTGGCTTCAGACTCATTATGTAGCCAAGGTTGACTTTCAACTTCTGGTTCTCCTGCCTCTACCATCCAGACACTGAGGTCACAGGCATATACTTTTATGCCCTACTCCTAAAGATTTTTTAAAGATTTTTTTTGAGATTGAGTCTCTCTACATAGCCCTGGCTGTCCTGGAACTCACTATGTAGACCAGACCATTCTTGAACTCACAGAGATCCACCTATCTTTTCCTCCCAAGTGTCAGGATTAAAGGCATGTGCCACCATGTCCAGCCTCTTAAGGCATTTTCAAAAACAGAAATTACTGGGCTTCTTTTCCAGGAAGTCTGGCTAAGTACATCTGCGGTGGAATTCATCGAGCCTTTTGTGTTTCCCAGAACTTCTGATACTTGTCTATTTCTGAAAACCATGATTTGAATACTAAGAAATTGATGGCCCTTTGGTTCTGACAGACTGAAGCCACTCTGTCATGAATCCTTCCTGAATTATCAAATACTTCCAGGCAAGAAGGTTAAAGTAGTCCCAACACTCAGGAATCTGAGGGTGAAAGGTTTTCCATGATTTTAGGCTAGCCTGGGCTATATATTGCCTTCTAGGGCAGCCTGAGACATAGAGTGACATCCTATCTCAAAATAAACAACAAAAAACTAAAACAAATTTTCTTTTTTAAAAAAGACCAAATCTTAACCAGGTGTGGTGGCACGTGCCTTTAATCCCAGCACTTGGGAGGCAGAGGTAAAAGGATCTCTGTGAGTTTGAGGCCAACTTGGTCTCTTTCCAGCGTTTAATCTGACCATGGATCTCCAAAAGAGCTGTAATCTTAAAGTCAGACTAACAAAAGCCCTTGGTTGTTCAGGGTCCATTTCAGGCCTTTGCAAAGTTAAGTCTTTTGTCCATTTAGCTTGGCGAGAACAGGAAGTACATTTGGAAACTAAACATTTTCCTTGCCTGTAGGAATTCTGTTCTGTCAACCAGTGAAGTATACTCAATAGCCATCTTCATTCCAAGCTCTGAAATAATGAGATAGTGTGTATAAATTTGCAATGAATGTGTCCACAGTTTTGATCAGTGGTGGTTGCTGGTGCACCCCTTTAATCCAAGCTCTCAGGAGACAGAGGCAGGAGGATCCCTGTGAGTTTGAGGTCAACTTGAGCTACAGAGTAAGTTCCAGGATATCCTGGACTACACAGAAAAACCCTGTCTGGAAAACAAGCAAATAAAGAGCAATCCTAGAACTGTTTGTATAACAACCAGGTGGAAGTGGGGATGGGAAGTCTATGTCTGATTTCTGTAAAGAGATGCAAGGGATGGGTTGGAGAGATGCCTCAGTGGTTAAGAGCACTGGCTGCTCTTTCAGAGAACCCAGGTAAAATTCCCAGCACCCACATGGCAACTCAAACTGTCTATAACTCCAGTTCCAAGGGATCTGACACTTTCACACAGACATACGTGCAGGCAAAACACCAATGCACATAAAAGTAAATTATGAAAACTAACTTGAGATGAGAAGCATACAAGCACATTTTGGAGACCTGCTTTTTTATTTTTCTGCTTTTCGTGGTAGCAAGAAGGTATGCAGTTAGGTATTTAGGATATGCTTAATCCAGCTTAATGCTTTGTGATTAATACGGGTTCCTTGGGGATTCTGGATTCTACACTGTAACACTGTCTGTTTTCTTTGGTTTTAGAAAGCAGATGAACGTCCTAGTTTCAAAGTTCTCTTGAGTAACATTCTAGATGTCATGGATGAAGAATCCTGAACTGGCTGATAAGCTTCGTGGATCTCCTCCTCTCTCCTTCAAGCCCCAATTCCACTTTTTCTGAGGGCTCCCAGGCTCCGGAGCTCTAGCCTTCCATGTTCCTACTGAATGCATAAAGGCCCCTAGACATCTAGGAACGCCTTTCTTCTTCCAGTCCCTGGCATAACGCTTCTGAGCAAAGGCCAAGGGATTTCTGTACCTGGTATTGCCCATAACTTCAAGACTCCTAACAGACTGGATTTGGGATGGGAACATTCTGGGGGAGGGAAAGATGTAAATAGCTCCACTAGTTGTCTAACAGCTTGTTGGGTAAGTGTTAAGAGTTTGGAGGCAGGACAGACTGGAATGGTGCCATTAAATGGGGGGGGGGGTTGTTTTGATAAAATAAAATTACTAGAAAGAGTGAAGGTATCTCCTATTTTAATTCATTACACAGCCGCCCTGAAGCTCTCTGTTTGAGAATTACAGAAAACCGTATTATTAGCGCGGCGTATTCCTAATCTAGAATTCGACACATTTCACTTCTCTCTCTTATTTTTTTTTAGCTTTTCTTTCTTTTTTTATTTTATTTTTATTTATTTATTTATTAAATATTTCTGTCTCTTCCCCACCTCCGTCTCCCCTTTCCCTCCCCCTCCCCACTTCTCTCTCTTATTAAAGCCTGCCTCTTAATTGTAGACGAACGCACAAGCCTTCCCCGGTGCTTGGCACACAGTGGACATACGATTATCATTTGACCGAATCTTAGCGTTAGGGACAAACTCAGCCAGCGCCTCATTTCCCTACATCAAGACGAAAACCCCATCACAGAACTGGACCCAGGTGCCCAAGACAGCCAGTTTATTCCCAGAAGAGTTCTGCTGGGGGGAAAAGCCAAGGCTGAGAAAGCGCGGGCCAATTTGGAAGCGGGCAGGGCGGAGTTTTAGGGCCGGCCCTTCGCTGGACCACGTGGTGTGAAGTAATTTCCTCGTTTCCTCTACACTGCTCTTTTCTTTTCGGCTATCCGCTCCCACGGCGCTCCAGGCCACAGCCGAGCGCTGCGGCTGGGGTGTGGCGGGGAGCGGATCCTGCCCGTGGAGCCAGCGCGTCGCGGTAATCCTCCCGGACCGGCCTGGCCGCCTGCCCTGCGCAGACGCAGTGCGCTCACAGGGCGGTCCCTGAGGCGGGAGAGGGCGGGGCGTGGCGGGGCGGTGCGCGCGCGGGAGGGCGTGGGGCGGGGGAGGTTGTGGTTCCGGTTCCGTCACCCAGACACGTGAAGGTCGGCGAGTCGGTTCAGTGCTCGCTTCGGCCCGCGTGGTCGCGCCGGGATGGACTCCTCGTCGTCGTCTTCGGGCGCGGGTTTGGGCACCGTGGACCCGCAGTTGCAGCATTTCATCGAGGTGGAGACGCAGAAACAGCGCTTCCAGCAGCTGGTGCACCAGATGACGGAACTTTGCTGGGTGAGGATCCCCGGGCTCGGATCTGGACGCTGTGCCTACTTTTCCCTGTGTCCTTGCCCCCACGGGACTTGCTGGGTTGTCGGGAACTCCAGAGTTGGTGGTCCGGACTGCACTCTGGTTTCCTTAGGCCAGGTCGGAAGGGACCAGGGTGACTACTTTGGGAGACCGTAGGTGCAAAGGGTTGGGAGTCACGGGATTACACTGCTGTCCCACCCAGCACTCGGAGGTGTTAGAGGCACCTGAGGTTGAGGCAGTGGTGCCGGCCACTAAGACTAATCAAAGCCCCAGTCCTGGAATTTTAGGGAGCCCGAATCCCAGAGAGTCCCTGACAGTTATTTCTGGACTCCTCGGGAATTTGCCTGGGTTACCCAGTCATAACCCCTCCTGATGAAAAGAAAAGCGGCTCTAGCTCATTAAGTATGAAAGCGGCATAATCTCTCCCAGCATACACATTTATTTGCCTTCACTGTGAGTTGTGTAATACTAAGACATTAAGGTCTGAAGGTTGAGAAATTGAATCGGCTCGGTGAGGGGACTTTGGCAGAGGGGCAGAAGGCATTCGTTTGTAGCTGAGATCAAAGCGTTCTGGTTGCCAAGGACAAGCACACTGCCCTCCTGTGATATAAAAACTTAAAGAATTTAGAGGCCAGGGAAATTCTTTGGAATTAGAGAGACTCTAAGTCTTGTGTATAAAGCATGAAGGAAATTTACTCTAAAAGCTTCTAACTATAATGCATTGATTTGCTTGGTCCTGTAAACTTATGTGTTGCTGGACTATGCTCTTTAGAAATACTGGATTAATTCTGGTTTGCCTTGGATCAGAGGGCTTCAATTCTTTGTTTTCTTTTTTTTTTTCTTGAGACAAGTTTTCATGTATTCCAAGCTAGTCTCATACTGAATGGATAGCTGAGAATAGCCGAAAATGACCTTCAAAATGGGCTTCCTGCCTCCTCCAGCTTTTTTTTTGCTTCGGTTTTTAAATTGTTTCTTTTAAGACAGGGCTTTGCTATTCACTCCTGGCTGGCCTGGAATTTATAGAGATCGTTCTGCTTCTGCCTCCTGGTTGGTAGAATTAAAGGTATTTGCCACCAAGATAGAGACAAGGTTTCTCTGTGTAACCGCATTGGCTGTCCTGGAACTCACTTTGTAGACCAGGCTGGCCTCGAACTCAGAGATCAAGTCTATGCCTCTCGAGTGCTGGGATTAAAGGCGTGCACCACTATGCCCAGCTTTTTCTTTTTTTAAAAAAAGTCTCTGATGCCTTAGGTTTGGGTGGGAAGTGGTGTGGTTAATAACTGCTTTAAGAAAAATGAACCAGGAGAGGAGAATTCATTTTTCTTCAATAAATGATGTAGTCCCTGAAGTTCTCATGCTCCAGTAGAAGAACCTTATATGCTCTTGCAGGCAACCCAAAATCTAGTGGATCCTAAAGAAGGGTATATAGTAGGAAGAGGACTTGTTGGGAATGAGGAGTTGGGAAGTAGAGGGGGTTGAGAGGGTAATGGGGAAATATGGTCAAATTATATACATGGGTATCATATGTATGAAATTGTCCATGTTTTTCTCTTTTCTTTTCTTTTTTTTTTGAGACAGGGTTTCTCTGTAGCTTTGGAGCCTGTCATGGAACTAGCTCTGTAGACCAGGCTGGTCTCGAACTCACAGAGATCCGCCTGCCTCTGCCTCCCGAGTGCTGGGATTAAAGGCGTGCACCACCACCGCCCATTGTCAGTGTTTTTTTTTTAAATCTGTGAACTATAGGGCCTTTACAAAACTCTAGTTTTTCACTCCTCCCGAGGGGATTCAAGAGCCTTTGATGCGTGTTGGGTAGATGGTACAGTCCCAGAACTTGGGAAGCAAAGATGAAAAACAAAGCATCTCAAGTTCCAGGCCAGCTTGGGACCCTGTCTCAAAAGACAAACTACTCTGTCTTAAATAAACAAGGCTAAAAAATGTTCATTCATATATTTTCTTTGTTGATTGGTTTTAGGGCACCTAAGTAGTTTCTGTTGTTGTTTTATTTTTTCCAGACAGGGTTTCTCTGTGTAGCCCTGGCTGGCATCAAACTCAGAGATGTCTCTGCCTCCCAGCTGCTGAGATAAGGTGTGTGCCACCATCTGGAAAAGGTTATTTTGCTTGCCATTTTTCTCAGTCTGTTATATTCAAGATGTGCCATATTCTGGCTCCTTGACTTTTGAGCAAACACTGCCAGAGATTCCACTGGTAAAAATGAGGATGGAGAATGGTGTTTTCCATTGGCTTGTTGAAAAATGTAATAGAAGTTTGTGTCCAATTGGTAAGATGCCAAATGTGAAATTTTTTATATTTATTTTTTGCTTAAAAAGTCATGGGCTTCATCATATCTGTTCTTTTCATGTGTTTTTCTTGCCTCCCTCACAATTTCTTTCCTCACAGTCTTTTTTTTAGTTACATCACACATTGTATAGATATACACATACTATACGATTTTAAATCTAGGTGTCACAGGTAAGAGAAAAATTGGGGTCCAAATTAGCAAATAAGATAATTTAGATGAAATTATTTGAGCAAGCAAAAGGCTTATTTGTAAATGCCCTTTGTGATTCTGTGTCTTATTCTGAACAGGAGAAGTGCATGGATAAACCTGGGCCAAAGTTGGACAGTCGGGCTGAGGCCTGTTTTGTGAACTGTGTTGAGCGCTTCATTGATACAAGCCAATTCATCTTAAATCGACTGGAACAGACCCAGAAGTCCAAGCCGGTCTTCTCAGAAAGCCTTTCTGACTGATCTCAGCATTACCTCTGTGGAAAAGTAGTTCAAGAAACAAAAGCTGTTGATGGGATAACTGAAGAAATGGTTATGGGGGGGGGGGGTTGGCTCCCAAGTTTCTTGGGACATCTTGTCACCTGAGATTGAACAAAGACCAATTTTTATGTATGGGAGTTGAGAGTCATGTGTATTTGGTTGTGTTTTTTAAAGCTAGTCTGTGAAAATAATTGAGAGATAAATGAAATTACAAGATGCGTTTTACTGTATATGGGACTCTGCTTTCTCAAGGTCCCTTAACTGCTTTATATAATTTTGATAGTGGAAGTGCTTTCTATAATTTGATAGTGGGACCACATAGGGTAACTCTCAATTTGTATGGATTCATTTCTGATTTTTTAAAGGAGCCCTTTGCATCAGAAAGAGCAGCAGTGAGGAAACAACCTGGCACTGTTAACAGCAAGCTTTCTTATCGTTCAAGTTTGACTATCAGAGCTGAAAACAATTCTCTGGGGGGTGTTCATACAATCCAGCCTTTTAGGTTGTCTTTCTCCCCATACCGTGGTTTACTTCAATCCTGAATGTAAACACGATCTCAAGGTAGTAGCAGCCTGAGAATCCAGAGGGCTTTAGTTAGTTAAAAAGGACTCTAGCTCCTGAGCATAATTCTTACTACCAGACTGGCTCAGGAGGAAGTTAATTTATTCTGTATAGCAGGATACAGAACATTCACAGATGTGCCTAAAAAATGATAACAATTTAGGCCAGTCAAAAACAAAAGTTTTAGGTAGACGTGCATGCCTGATGTTAGTCATAAATTCATTAACTGCATTCTTTCGGTCACTGAAATAAAAACTCTGCAAGATCAACTTGTGATGGAAAGGCTTTCTATTTTGGGTTTTTATCTGCAACTCAGATTTCATGTGGGCGCATTTCAAGACAGAAATGTAGTTACGTCTCTTCTAGAGGTCCCTGAAGTTTTTGAGAAGAGAGTACTTTCAGATATGATTAGAAGAGGAAAATCTTAGCTAATACCTAGGGCCCTGAGAGAAGAGCTTAGAGTGAATTCCCCTCATAGACTGGAGTGTAGACCTAAAGGAAAACTGCTTAATACTAATCCATGAATCTGGGCAAATATATACCTCTAGCATTTCTTCATAGGCATAAAGATTTTGGTGTAGTAAGCCCCATTAGGAATCCGCATGGGAGTGGAGAGATTGCTAGGTGGTTTAGAGAGCACATTGTGCTCTCTTTTTTTTTAAAGATTTATTTATTGTGTATACAACATTCTGCCTCCATGTATGCCCACAGAGCAGAAGAGGGCACCAGATCTCTTTACAGATAGATGGCTGTGAGCCGCCATGTGGTTGCTGGGAATTGAACTCAGGACCTCTGGAAGAGCAGCCAGTGCTCTTAACCTCTGAGCCATCTCTCCAGTCCCACACATTGCGCTTGCAGAGGACTTGGGTTCAATTCTCATTACCCTTATGGTTCACAACCCTCCCCCAAGGCCGTCTTCTGACTTCTAGTGCACCAGTCACATATGCTACACATACAGACATCCAGGCAGGTCTTCATGCACATGAAAATAATTCTAAGAAGTTGAAAAAAGAAACAGTGCAATAAGGGTGATAGGAAATGTTTATGGACCTTTATTATTTTCTAACAAATAGTTGAGACCTGAAAGAACCAAGTTGATTTCATATAACTTTGCTTGGTGCAGTAGTACTACTAAAAATAATGCCATTTTCATGTTGAGCAGAGTTCAAGCTCTCAGGTATCTGACACACATACCTTTTATATGTGTTAAAGTAAAACAAGTGGCATAGAGTGTTCTTTATTTTTATTTGCTCTTTGTTTTTCTATTTTTGTCTTTTGAGAGAATTTCTCTTTGTCTTGGCTGTCCTGGAACTCACTAGATAGACGAGACTGGCCTCAAATTCAAAGAGATCCTCCTGCTTATGCCTCCCAAGAGCTGGAATTAAAGACATGTACTATTATGCCTAGAATTAATTCTCCATTCTTAAAATATTGTGTTATATCGTTATTCCTTCTGGTTTCTCACTTAGTAGCAGTATTCTCATTGTATGTATTTACAAAGTTACATGTCTTCCCTTCCAATCTTGCCACGTAATCAGTGAATACAATGAGGAAGGTTCTGCCAGCTGCATACACTATGCTTTGGCACCGTTGCTGAGTTAAGCACCACTAGATACAAGATAATGGGGAAGAAAACGCATGACATGCCCCTGCTTCTAGTAATTATGAGCAACCACTGGGAGTTTGGCAGTCTCAGGAATGTGCTTTCACGCCTTGATTAAAAGTGGAATACTGTTAGTCCTGAAATTCCAAACCTTGATTTCAGATATGTTTACATTAGAAAACTCGAGACTGAACTGTGAAATAAAAGGCTTAACTTAGTAAATGTGACAGGAAAATCTAAAATGAATCTTAGAAGTCTAATATGTAATAACAAAGGCCAGGCTGCTCTAATGTGGATGCTCTGCTGTTGCCTTGTCTGCCCAGACACTGACTGGAGCCTGATCCATTGTCTTAGAGGCCCTAAGTGTTCTGTCTAAAATCCACTGCCGAGTCCATCAACTAATATTAGCAATGGTAGAAGGGAAACCAGGACTTCAAAATGAGAACAAGCATCTTTATAAGGAGTTTGAAGTCTAAAATGTAACAAGTCAACCCATGGAAAGTCTTTACAGGAAACAATTAATAGCCCTTTCTTTAAACAAAACAAAAAATAAGAATCACAATACCAAACTTTCCTCTGATATACTACTGAAACAATCTTGGCCTAGGGAGCAGTTATTCCTGGCACAGTTCCCTTAGAACTTCCTTCAGGCCTATGTTTATTGGCACATAATAGAATCAAAGGTTGGTGGAGCAATGTCTCATATTTTACATCTTTCGTCTGTGTAAGCATACGGGTATTCAGATTAACCATCTCAAGTGTATGGGTTAGATAGTATTCAGCATGCATTCAGGTACTGAAAGCTTGGCCCAGTGTGGTGGTAATGGAAGGGCAATTTAAGAACTGGGACCTTAAGGCTCAGTGGTAAGAGCATTTGCTGCTCTTCCCAGGGTTCAGTTCCCAGCACCCACAGGGTGATTTACAACTGTTTGTAACCCCAGCTCCAGGGCATCCAGCTCCTTCCTCTAGCCTTTGTGGGCACCAGGCATGCATGTGATAAATAGACATACATGTAGACAAAACACTCATAAAAAATAGAGGTATGTCCGGAGAGATGGCTCAGCGGTTCGTGGCCCAATCGCCCTTCCTGCCAGAGGATCCGAGTTCGATTCCCGCTGAATGCACCGTGGCTTGCAGCCAGCCATCCTGAGCTCTGGCGCCCTCTTGTGGGAAAAAATAAGAGGTAGGACCTGAGGGCAGGCCATTAAGTCTTTGATGAAGTTGACCTTGGGTAGGGTTAAGGTACCATTCACAGGCTACTTACTGATCCTCAGAGACTGAACTACTAGAACAAACCTGACCTGGATTGCTGTTTGTCTTCTTATTTGGCATTTTGATCTCTTCACCCCATCCATGCTCCCATTTTTGACAGCTGCCATGAAGTGACAAAGCTTCTAGGGGAGCCCTTGCCACAGCCAATGTGTTTGAACACTCCCTTTAAATCTTTATATACGTCTTTATATACATTTATAGAGTTAGCCTGCTAGAGGCATTTTATTAAAGTAAAAAAAAAAAGCAGATTACTATATTACCCAGCCAGGCAATGGTGGCCCATGCCTTTTATTCCAGCAGTTTGAGGGAGAGAGGAAGAGGGAAGTGGAGCTCTGTGAGTTTGAGGTCAACCTACGGTTTTCAGAGCAAGGTTCAGAACAGCCAAGGATATGCAGAGAACCTCTCTCTTGAAAAACAAAACAAAAAGTCCCAGATTGCCATATTCTCAAAATGCCAACAGGTATGAACTAAAAGGAACATCTCCAAAGGCATAGAAAAAAAGAGGCTAAAAATACATAAAGAAAACCATAGATAGTACCAATAAGATTTCTAAGACTGTAGGTTGCTATTGCTTGAGTTAGGAAAAGGACAACATAGGAAGGACTACAGATGTGCTGAATATATCCAAGCCCCGATTTAGACAGTTCATTTAAATGCTTACAAAGATCACATGCCAAATCAAGCACATCCAGATTAGTGCTGTGCTCCTAATTAGCTTTTTAAAACAGTCAGTACTTTCAAGATGGTGTCCAACTCTTGTCACCTAACAAAAAGTGGGACCTCTAAAGAACAGATAGGAATATCCAAAGGGGGACTGGAGAGATGGCTCAGAGGTTAAGAGCACTGGCTGCTCTTCCAGAGGTCCTGAGTTCAATTCCCAGCAACCACATGGTGACTCACAGCCATCTGTACTGAGATCTAGTGCCCTCTTGTGGTTTGCAGGCATACATGCAGGCAGAACACTGTATACATAATAAGTAAATCTTTAAAAAAAAAGAATATTCGAAGGGGTTAGGTTAGTTACTCTGGTTATAGGAAGCCTCACTGAGGATGAGTAAAGCAGAACTGACTACTATACCCAGGACCAAAAAGACAGCTCCTGTGATAAAGGAATTGAATTGCTCTTTTGATTCATAAGAAAGCTGAAGCAGTTTGATTGGTAGTTGGTTCCTTAGCACCTTAATCAATGAGCACCATTTGAACACGTGAACAATTCGTGTTTGGACTGCTTAAAAATAGACTTGTATATATAAACCTACATCTTGCAAAAAAATCAGTCTCACAGATGTAAAGCCTATGCAGCATAATCATGCAGTCTGCTGTACAGAAATGTATAGAAGGGACAATAGGATATGGCAAACCAAGGTTCTGAAATATGAGCCCAAAAGCCCAAATAAGGTCTGCTGAGATGACCCAGCAGGGAAAATTAGGAGTGCTTGTCACCAGTCCTAATGACCTGAATTTGATCCCCAGGACTTAAATGGTGGAAGGAGAGAATAGACTATCAAACGTTGTCCTCAAAACTTCACACACATGCCATGTGCGGAGGTTTGAATGAGAATTGCCTCCATAGGCTCATAGATTTGAATATTTGGTAATCAGGGAATGACGCTATTTAAAAGGATTAGGAGATGTGGCCTTGTTGGAGGAAATGTGTGTTTCATTGTGGATGGGATTTGAGGTTTTAAAAAGCCCATTCCAAGCCCAGAGTCTCCTTCCTGCTATCTGCAGATCCTGATGGAGAACTCTCAGCTACTTTTCCAGCACCATGTCTGCCGGTGTGCTACCATGCTTCTTGCCATAATGATAATGGACTAAACCTCTGAAACTGTAAGCAAGCCCCCAGTTAAATGTTTCCTTTTATAAGAGTTGCCTTGGCCATGGTGTCTCTTGACAGCAACAGAACACTAAGACATCATGGCACATGTACCTGCACTCTATGTCACACATGCACACAGACACAGACCTACTACTATCATCATCACTACTATTAATAATAATTTTTAAAAACTCACAAATGAAAACTGGGCTCATATGGTGCTGGAGATGGAACCCAGAACTTTCTGTATACTAGCCAAGCATTCTAACAATCATTAGAATTGTTACATCATTACATTAGCTATATTATCAGCCCAACTTTGTGTGTGTGTGCATGCACACTACACATACCCTCGCCTGTGTACACAGATGGAGGCCAGAGATTGACATTATCTTTCCATATCATTCTCTACCTTATTTTTAGATATAGAGTGGTATGGGAGGTCCTTCTGTCTATGTGTTTCTTTTATAGGTTAATGAATAAAGAAACTGCCTTGGCCTGTTGGTTGGGCAGAACTTAGGTAGGCGGGCAGAATTGGACTGAATGCTGGGAGGAGGAAGGTAAAGTGAGGAGATGCCATGGATCCTCTGCTTGAGACAGACTCTGAAAACTTTACCCGGTAAGCTACTGCCACATGGTGATACACAGATTAATGGAGATGGATTAAATTAAGATGTAAAAGTTAAGATGTAAGAGCCAATTAGAAGCTAGGTGGTGGTGGCGCACGCCTTTAATCCCAGCACTTGGGAGGCAGAGGCAGGCGGATCTCTGTGAGTTCGAGGCCAGCCTGGTCTAGAAGAGCTAGTTCCAGGACAGGAACCAAAAAAAAAAAAAAAAAAAAAAAAACAACGGGA